AATAACTTTGCAAACAAAACCTATCCTAAGCATCTCTTTTTCAAAAGTGATAAGGAGTTTAACCTTTTCTGCAACTGCCAAGGCTGGTGAGCTCCTGCCCAGCTATTTCAAGTGCTCAAAGGTTTACAATATAAGCTATTGATGCCTTTAGCCAGCTGTAACCAAGACTAGGCAGAAACATACAGATGCAATTTACAGTAAAAAGAAAGAAAAAAACAGTTAAATATAGTTCTGTTGGCAAGACAGTTTTTCCAAGACTTGACAACATTTCCTAATATTACCAAGACTCAGAATGGAGGCAGACGTGGTGTGGTTGCTGTATGTTATTAACACAAGTGGAAAAACACAAAACCCCGAATGGAGCTGCCAACTGCCCTGCAGCTGAGTGCCAGTCTCCAGGAAGAGTGAGCTGTAAACAGGAACAAGCTTCAGGAAAACGCCCAGGCTTGAGTGGCAGCATCCAGGCCGCATCGTTAGCCCTGACATTTTAAAACAGGCCAACCCGGTGTCAGCTCCCTGCACGGCGTAAACACACATAATCAAAAACACCGCTCTCTGTCAGCCAGCCCTGAACCGGCTGCAGGGGCTCGCTCTTGTGTCTTTCTCCATGTTTTCAATTTAAGTGATACTTGATTCTAGTACTGGCAACCCTGTTTTGTTCAGTGTTTTAAAAGGCTTTCGATGATGATTTTAGTTCTGAATGACTGCAAAACCTCAGATACACAAGCGTGTGCTGGCATCCGAGTGCAGGACTGCCTGTCTCACTTAATTACTGCTCCATCTTCGTCCTTCCCTCTTTTCTTATTTTTTGCTCTGAATATAGATTTTTGGGGCTGTGTAATGGAATCAGATGATGATTTGTCCTTGTCCAGTTTCTGTCAGTTTAGACATTTTGTCGAGTTTGACAGGCTTTATGTAAGAAACAGGCTTTATTTAAGAAATATTTTTTCCCTTGTACTGTAAATTACCGAAACAAATTATTCTGACTTTTTGGTTTGAAATAATGAATTTGATTTTTGGTGTTGAGTGACATCTGTGGTGGTAATTTGACTACAGGCAACCACCCCATCACAGAGCTACTCAGTCTTGTCTCCTACTTTACCTCTCCAGCTCTCACTCAGCTCAGCTCTCACTTTTAACACATTGCACATTTAAGGAGAGACTTCATTGTTTCTAGTGAGCACTTAAGCATCATTATTATTGTAAGATAACATAGGGAAGGATACAAATGAGAGAAGACTATTTAGTCAGTCTTGCCTCATAGGTAGTTAACAGTTAATTGATCCAAGTATTTCATTGTTCCTTGAAAGACGCCATGGTATAAGTTTCAGCAGCATGGCTGGGCAGCTGGTTCTATATCCTACACAGCACATTGGGTACAGAAGTGCCTCCTCTCAGTTTTATAGTAAATGCACTTCATCATGGTTTCCATTGTGTCCCCTGGTTGGTGTTCCACTGTTTATGCTGAAGAAATCTGCAGGGTTGACTTTGTCAATGCCTTGAGGATTTTGAATGCTTGTATCAGGTCTCCTCAAAGTCTTCTCTGCTCAAGACTAAGGAGACTCAGTTCCTTCAGCCTGCCAGTGTAGGGCAGTCCCTAAAGCCCCAGAATGATGCTCTTCACTCAACTGATTCCAGAGAAGCAATATCTTTTCTTTAACATGATAACCAAAATAGAACATAATATTCTAAATAAGCCCCTACTAGTGCATTGTACAATTTTAACGTGACATTCACACCTGAAGAAGGCTCCACGGCCGAAACGTTGGGTTCTCTTTCTTCTTTTTTTCAGCATGGAATAAACCTATTACTTGTTCCTTTGCAGCCTATGCATGCTGACGCAGCTACCCACCATTTAATTTCTATACTGTGAATCACATATCCTAACGTTTTGTTTCCCTTTTTATTTGCTTTCCTATAATAATGTAAATTACATGTCAACATAAGCCCCTTAAGTCTTTTTCATAAGTAACCTCTTCTAGCTTGGGGTATTCCCAATTTGTGTTTTTACTACCTGCATGCAAAATACTTCACTTGTCTACATTAATCTTCAGAGAAAAATATGCAACTTTTCTTCAAGTTAGGATAAATGAAACATGACAATGTTTCAAGCTGTGGTAGTTTTTGTAACTAAATTTTCAAATGACTTCTAATCCACTATAATAAATTACATTTGATTACCCTTTTTACATGATTATTACTCAATTTTGCTGACACCTTTTGTCCAAGGTGATTTTTAAACACCTTTGTATATATTGAAAACTAAGTTCAGAATGCTATATGGAATCTAAATGTCTAAAAGCTTTAGAGCTTTAAAGCAATACAAAACCTTTAGGAGATCAGAAGCACGATCTTTCTGTCCTACGGCTCAGAAACAACTTTGTACCACTGCAGCACCCGACCGGAGTATCAGATTAAAGCAGCACTTTGGAAAAGCAGACAAACAGCAAGGCTTGACCTCAGCTGTCGGACAACAACAAGCTGTTTACAAGGATCAGAAAAATATTTTTTTCACATGGTTCACATTGTTGTTTTTACAGTATGTGCGTGTGCTCTCGCCCACACTGCCACTTTTCCAGTCGGGCCCCTCACCCCCGTGCTTTGCTCAGAGCGCCCCTGTGTCTCAGACAGTAACTATGAGTGGAATCCTCCAGAGATGCCAGGGCGCTGCAGTCTTTGAGTTGGCATGGGAGAAAAGGACGAGTGTTTTCCCTGAATAAACTACCACATACATTTTTTGGAAAAAAATGTCTCATTAATGGCGGTAATGCCATTAGGACAATGGTTTGTGAAATGCACGCACTCTGTGCTTTGGGGATTATTAGCTCATACCCCTCTTTGTTCATTAATGTCAAATGTCCTTCAGACAGCTGAGGTTGGAAAAGGTTGGAGAGGCAAAATTACTCAAAAAGGAACTCAAATCCAACATCAGAACAGTGTACTGTATTTCAGCCATGCAGCAGATTGTTTATTATTATTTCTCGAATTTCCTGAAATTTCCAGTTTTTCCCCATGTGGAAAAACTGGCAAAAGCCACTTGGTGTTTGATACAAGTCCCCGGACACAGCTGCTCACGGAATTAGGGCAGGCAATCGCCCTGTGTCCAGGCTCGGTGCTAAATGAGGCCGTCAACCAGAATAGACCGTTGCCTGCCCACCACTGACCTGGCTCTCAACCACAGAACTTTATATGGTCACATTTCCCATGTCTTGCCAGGGATCTGTATAGAAGTTATCCTATTTGTCACTTTGCTCAGTTTTTATAATGCTGCCTACAGATACCTCACTTTGGATTATTCTATTTTTAACGTGTACATATTGTAGGGGCAGTAATGGTTTTGCAGAAACATTGTGCACTTCTTATGAAGAATTGTTGCATATCAAAGCAGGAGCTTTATTAAATGGATTACTTTAAGTACTTTAAGAAGATTGTGATGGAGGGTAGGCATATAGTTAGAGATACTTAGGATAATAGGAGGACAGTTCTGCTGTATAACAGTCTGACCAAGATCTTTAAAAATTGGAGTGTCTCAGGAAAACAGACACAGAGCCATAAGGTATAAACTAGTACCATTTTTTGCATTGCAGCAATTGAAATCCATCAAACAACAAATTCTAACCTCTATGACTCTTCATTAGTCTTTCACTATAAGTACTGCCAGTTAGTAAATCAATCAAATATAATTTGTAGTCTCACACATGGATTCTAACTATACAATATGCAGTTTATTGATAAAACTCCCAAACATGCATAGCATACCAGCAAGAGTTATAAAATATATTTGTAAAATGATCTGCTGTTATACAAAAGACTGATCATTCACTCAGGGATTACAAAGCTCAGAGTTATTTACTTCATCTTTAAAATATTGACTATAACATGTTATGGTCTGCCTTGTAGATTTTATGCATTTACTACAATGAATAATTATCAAACACGATTGTAATAATAATCCAACTCTTGAGAATTATAATATGAATAAAGAAGTTTTACATTTGTTGGCCAAAGGTCCTTGATGAGTTTAAAATTCCTGCTGGAAAGTCCAAACTAGACTGAGTTGGTCTGTGGTCAACCTGGCATCGGCCTGGCATCTTGGAGAAAAGTTGTAGTGACTTGGATTTCTTGCAGTCGTGTGGCTGGTAAAATTAAAGAGCTTTTGAGCTAAGAGCTTTTAGCTTTTAAGGTATGACATCACAATTGTTAGGATATTATCAAGTAAAATCCTGGTACCAACCAGTGAATCATCCATTGGGTGATGGATAGTGACCTCTTACCCATTGTCCTGGACAGAAAGAGACTAAAAGACTTGCGATGTCCTGGTCTGTGGACATCTTGGAACATCCTCCTTATTATATGGGACTATTTTAACTACATCTGCTTTTACACAGAGGACCAAGCTGCTTTGTCAGGGCAAAATAAAAAATATTTTGGAATGTTCAATAACACTTAACTTAAAGTGTAATAATAGGTCTTGTTGCTACACCTGTTATTCAAACAACTTTCAAACACAAGTCTCTCTCTGAGACTATATCCTATATTGAGAAGTTTCTCAATCCTCTCCTAAACATTAGTTTAAAACTCACATATCCAAACAGAATCCAGAGCTGAATAGGTTGGTCACTTCCTCCCTTCCACATCTTGCTATGGAATATGTGTCCTCAAATGGCAGATAAGAATGATCCTGGAAGCTTCTGATTCCCGATTTTTCAATTATCACCTGACCAATCATCTTTTCAGGACTGGTCAGGTGACTGACGACAGGAGCTTGTTCCCTACAGAGTTCTGATCCAGATAAGGATTTCTGTCTTGTCGGAACCTACTGGTAAATTTGGACTTGGTTGCAGTGGTTTAGGATTGATGGAAGCTTGCTGGGTCATGTTCAGTCTCTGCCACAATGAGAGAAGCGTTTCCACACCTTCTGTTTAGTTTCTGCTGAATGAAGTTAACAAAGGTGTGGTGTGAATTGATGGAATTGTCTCTTCTGCTTTTGGTGTTGGCAGCGTGCTGGCGGGCTACAATGGCACCATCTTTGCTTATGGCCAAACGGGCAGCGGAAAGACCTTCACCATCACTGGGGGGCCAGAGCGCTACAGTGACCGCGGCATCATCCCACGCACCCTCTCCTACCTCTACCAGCACTTCAGCAAGGTGAGCTTCTCTCTGCTGACATCTGCTTGCATAGAAAGCACGAGTGTCTGACACTTACCGTAGGCACTGGATGGAAAACAGCAGAGGGAGATGAAACCAAGCTGAAGGTTATTAAGTGCAACTTTTAAATTAGCGGACCAACAGGATCAATAGACAAATCTGGCTAGTGAATGAGCAGCTACTTGTCCCCTGCCCAAGTGCCCACTACTCAGCGTTTGCATCTCAACATGGTCTTTTTTCATCTTGTAACGAATGCTCCTGGTTCTGTGTTGGCGGCTTGGGGAATGACAGGCTAGAGATGACTTTACAGGCTCACTGACAGTTTTATTGTCCTTTTTGTTACAGTGCGGTGTGCTAATCATGGAGCAGGGAAGTTTGTGATTACATTTTTTTGTTTTAGTTCATCTAAATTTAATTTAGTTAAAATTAAAGCCTACAGTATACATTAATATTTTCATTATCATGTAAGGAAGGGTGACATTTGTGTCTTTACCATATATATTTTATACTGTATTACATTATGTAACGGTATAGGGTTTGACCTGGTTACATGTGAATTTGGCTATCTGCTACAGTTCTTTGCACCGAACCCTAGCAAATGTCAAGACCCTGCTATAATCTTAAAATACAGGCTATAAGAGAACAAGCTCATATTTTAATTGTCTTTGAAGTTCCCATTCTTAGCTTGTATTGTGTGTTGTGTTATCTTGTACACATACTGACATTACCTTGAAGCTATCTGCTGCAAAAGGGATGTCTTGTGTATGCCTTATGGATTAAAGAAATAATGAACAGCGAAGTGTCTTAAAATCCATCCATCTTCTCACTACTTTAGCCAATAAAGGGTGGTGGAGGAGCTAGAGCCAATCCCAGCAATCAATGAGCACAAGGCAGGATACACCCTGGACACGACAGTCCAATGCAGGGAAGACACGCACTTAAACCAGGGTCAAATTGCCCAAAAGCCAATTAATCTACCAATATGTCTTGGACTGTGGGAGGAAACAGGAGCACCTGGCAGAAACCCAGGCAAATACAGAGAGAACATACAAACTCCACACAGATAGCACTTTAGGTCAGGAACTGAACCCAGGGCCCCTGCACTGTGAGGCAACAAGGCTAACCACTGTGCTGTTGTGCTGCCTGTGTCTTTAAATCTCCAGTACTAATTCTTGCAAAGTTTTAAGTTAGCTATAGGCAATTTACAGCCAGATTTCTGTGAAAGTCCCCCATGTTTGTAACATCTCTTCTGTTCAGTGTGCATTCTGTTTGGTGTGTGACATACCTAATTAGACTGTCATTAATTGAATTGTTTAATTAATTTAGTAAGACATTTAGACTGGGAACTAGTAACCACCATCTTCAGAGTTGTATTAGATGAACGGTAATAATGGTATTAGAACTGAACACTAAAAGACTGGCACACTAGAACACTTGAACTGAACTGCCTTAATAAACCCTTTCCAAAATCCAGAAATCCAGTTGTAAGGGCAGCCTTGAGCTGCTGGGGCACTATTGAGCAGAAGTGTGCCACAGCCCTGTTCTCTCTCTTCTTCCTTTAACCAGGACAGCAGTAAAGTCTATACTGCCTACATCTCCTACCTTGAAATCTACAACGATTGTGGCTATGACCTCCTGGACCCCCGGCACGAGGCAGCCCGCCTGGAAGACTTGCCGTGAGTGTGTATTTCCAAGGAAACTAGACTCTAAATGCTTTTAGGATTAAAAGGAGAGCTCGCCACTGTACCCTATTTGCACGAAACATAAAAAGTAACTTCAGTTACCATGATGAACATTTATTTATGATGAATGAAAAACTTCAAAATGAAAAAAAGAGCTTATCAATTACCCAGAAACCCACATGGAGAAATTTCAAGCAGTGTTCTTAGCTGATAGGCAGTTATTATGATGTGCTCCTCTTCAGAGCCTGGTGTCTTGCTGTGGTTCAGGCATGTTGTGAACAGGTGATGAAATTAGACTTTGGCAATTGCTCCCTGCTGTGAAAGGTGGTTTGTATTTTTAGTTCTTTTCTTAAGTTTGCCTTCTTTTGGCTAGCCTGGGTTTTGTCTTTGTGGTTTACATCTTAGAACTTTGTCTGGAACTCAATAGCCATCTTGGCAGGTGACACAGGAATAGCATCATTGATGCATTCATCAATAAACTGTTTTTTTTTATTGTATACAACTATTATATTGCCTGGAATGGTCTGTCACTGAACAATTTGCACCATGGAAATGACATTGGTCTAAAAGTGATCATTTAGGATATTGTGTACAGTTGTGGTCGCTATGTTATAAAAAAGATATTGGTGCTCTGGAATCAGCCCAACAAAGAGTAATCAGATACTTTCTGGGGATTAAGTGAAAGACAGGCTGAAAGAAATAAACCTTTAGTCTTGAACTTGCTTGTACAGTACTTCATTTTGCTAAATTTATTCACAGTTCATCGCTGGATAAATGAACATCTTTGGCTTCACAAGATGACAATGGCTCTAAGATCTCTGTTTCTTGTAACGATACTTATTGTCTTCAAAACCTGGCCGATGATCTCTGACAAACCACCATGAGCATTGATAAAAGGAAGACTGACCGTAAACAAAACCCTAAGGAAAGCAGCTTTTTGTAGTGATTAAGGATTGTAAAAATGGGAGCTGTCTGGCAATAAATTAACTTTCTTTCTTTACTTTATCACCTTGGAATGTTGTAAACAAGAAACCCGTGTGACTTGGTGGCTGAAGAGCTGCGACAGTCTTGGTTTGGTTGAGTGATCACACATGGCACCTTCCAAGTTCCAAGGTGTCTAGTTTTGACCACAGCACTTGAGCTGTAATTGATGGGTGTTGTTGGTGTGGTCAGGCCCTGAAGGCTCACTGAAAGCAAAGAGTACTTGTCGTTGACTCAAGATATGTGCAGTTTTCTTTAGCGGCAGCGGTAACAGTATGCATTCCAGCTGGACTTACATAAGTGTTGCTTTTTTGAGGGAAAATGCAAATTGTGGGCTGAGCCATGGTGACTGTCACTTGGTTCAGTTATCATTTCAATACTTGTTTGTATGTTGTAGACTCTTTTTTTACATTGAGTAGCATCAAATCTTTCAGGTTTTACTGTCATTTGAAACTCTAGTGGATGTTGTTAGTCAGTCAGTGGAGTGTAGCTTGAGCTCTAAGGCAACCTTTCACCCATCGCTCACAGCTCTTGTGGTTTTCCAGCTACATGAGTTTTAAGTGTGGTGTTTTAGCTGGAGCTTTCTTCTACAGTTCTAGGCTTTGCTGCTCCAGGAGACTGCAGGTGAATGTTCAATCGATTCTCCCTGTCTCTAACCATCATTTTAGTTAGGAGGTCTAGCCAATTGACTAGTTCTTAACCAAACGAGAGTTATTCAAACCAAAAGTCTCCCTTAACATGTTGGAGCAGAAATCTAACCAGCACCAGCTTCTGGTGAACCCACATGCAAATGTCTAATTTCACTAGTCTGCAAACGTCCCGCAAGATTTCTTTTCAAATCCTTAAAACCTCAGCCTTGACACCACCCTCCAAGACACTTAAACTAATAAACCCCACAGAAACATAGCTGTTCTGGTAGTGTTTGGAAGAGGATTGCCATGATTAAACCAATAAACTCTTATAGTGGCTTCATAAAGCTTTTTTTTACTGTTGCACCAAACATCTTGAAATCACTGTTTGTCATTGAAGAGATGTTGAAATCTGAATTTCCCAGGGTGATGGTAGGGATGACTCCCATCTGATGACAGGCAATCCTGCTAGAGAAAGAGGTTCCAGTGGCCTTATAGCCCCAAACCTCCCTACTTTGCTGGGGAACATTATCCAGTTTTGTCTGCCCGCTGAAGACTCCTGGCCACAGTCAGAACCAGACTGGGTTTGAATTTAGTTAGAGATGGCTTAAGCACATAAGAACAGTTACATGAGATGAGGCTATTTGGCTCATCAAGAACATTTGCTAGTAAGTATCTAATTGACCCAAGGATATTATTTAGCTGTTTCTTGAAAGAAGTGACAGTATTGGTCTCAACAACATGGCTGGGTAGCTTGTTCCAAACTCCCACAACCCTTTGTGTGATGTTGTTCCTCCTGTGAGGCACATTTTATCTTTTTATCAGGAGGCCTGAAAGGACTGAAGTCTCATGTCCCTCGATTTCTTTCACCTGGATATGCAGGAGGTCTCACAGGCTGTGGCAGATAAGGACAGCTTTTGTGAAATTATGGCCTACCTGTCTTTTTCTCTCCCTCCATCAATATCTTTGTATGTCTTTCTCTCTCCGCCTCTACATTTCTCTCCATCTCTGTTTTAATCTCCAAGGCCTTGAATCAAGGCTGTCTCCTTTTCTCTTCCCTCCAAATTACACACTGCTGAAAATAGACAATACTTGTTGACCACGTGGTTCTGATTCTTGTTTTGAGGAGAAGTTGCCACAAAGACAAACCACTGGAGACGACCGGCGTTTTCTCTTTCTGTCTCTCTCTGACAGGAAAACTGAAGTACCCTTTTTATGTCTGTCGGGGGGCTTGTGGTTGTGGAGCAGCACTTTTTTTCTCTCTCACATATAGCTTAAGTCTCTCCCATTACAGTGGCTTAATGCATAGTTGCCTGATTCTGCCTGACGACTTGATGACCTTTTCCAAATATTGTAATGGTGTTAATTTACATTATGGGTTTGGTCAATTTAATATTTATATCACTCATGAAGATTTTGTTCCAACTTTCTTTTCTTTTTCTTATGAAAGGCCAAAGCACCCACTAAAGTTCTCAAATCAACTATATACTGTACATCTTAATCCTTTCATTTTAGTCTCATAAATACTTTTAAAATGTTTCTGATTAAATGAATCAGTTTAATTGTTATACTGATGCACTGAAAAAAAGCATTTTTGCATCGTTAGCTCACTGTACACATGCTGAATGTGGTTTTTATTTCATTTTAATTAGTGCAGATTGAATAGTATTGTTCTTTGACAACAAAATACTGAGCTAAAGTCTTGTGATTTTCTAAATACACCAAATGCTCAGTTTATGGTATTTCAGTTGAGTTAAAATTGTTAAAATAAGATTATTAGAAATCTGTAACATTAATTCAAACAGACATGGCTTGAATTATATAAAGGAACAGGGAATGATACAAACATACCCTGCTTGAGTAATGCAGATTGCATTGTTGGTGTGAGGTAGGTCCACAGTCATCTGACTAATCCAGGGAAATCAGGAAACCATCTGTCAGGATAGGGTCTGGGAAGTAAAGTGGCACCATGACAGCTCAGGATGGCACAATGCTTTGATTTGCTTTTTTTTTTTTTTCAGTCTCCAATGGCTACAGTATGAGAAATTCCAGGAATACATAATTAGTCCTTTAGCAGAATAACTATAGTTCACTGTCCGCATCAAAATGATCTGTGTGCTTGAAGGGTGCTCTGAGTTCACCTGTTTTTGTGAGACAAAGAAAACCTGAGGTGGTGACAAAGAGTTACGGACTGTTTTATTCACTGATGAATGCCATTTTGCTCTGGACAACCCTGCTTTTTTGTTGCGTTGTTCAAGCCCATCAGCTGGTGTTGGTATTGTGATAATAACACCACACAAGAACAACGTTGGTGCAGATTGAGGGCAACCTCCCTGCCCAATGATTCATTGACCAAGTCCTTGGTCCCTCTAAGCTATTCTAGTGCTGACTTTCCAGGAGGACAGTACCCGACTGTCTATGGCCAGCCTTTTCTCCTTTCCTGAGAAATATAGAAATCTTAGAGAATTTCTAAAGAACAAACTTAGCAATGCCATCAGCTGGAGACAACTGGGGCTGATTAATTTCCCAGCTGGTAGATGCTGATACAGGAGCATCAGAACATCCCACAGCAGTCTCTCCAGAGGGTGATTAGGTCCACATGTCAATACTGCCAGGATCGTGTCACTACTCAGGGGGGTCAAGTCCAGAATTTCCAAGTTAGTATTTTTATTTTGATAGTGTGTCATATCTCATATTGGAAACATCTAATAATTATTTTTGTGATCAGATCATTTTCTATCGTGTGTGTGTGTGGGGGGGGACAGTACAGCACAAAAAAAGCAATTCAATTTTCTCCCATATTCCTCTCCTTCCGTCCCTAAAAGCCGTCCTCAGGTAGTACTTGATGACTTTTTATCTACATTTTCTTTGATTTTGTTCATTTATATTTGAAATATTTGATTGAATCGATTAGTCTGTGTCGCTGTGTTCTTCTATGGGTTAGTGTTATTTAGTTTTGCCTAACGAAACCAATCTGAAAATGCAAAAAAAAGATCATAGTAGTATCTGTCTTCGTTCCCACATGAAAGGTAATAAAAACTAAATACTGAATGCTGCAATTTTGCTAATTTTTTATTTTTTTCACCTAATCAGAATTTAGTTTTAGCTGTTTGTGCTGGGTTAGTGTGGAGAAGATAACATACTCATATTTCAGCTGCATGCACTCAGCTATAATAGGGTACAAATTATTTTTAGTATTTGTGAGGAGACTGATATTGGCTGTTTTAAATTGTGGCTGACATTTGTTTTGCATATTTAAATTAACAATTTAGATTTAGACAGATTAAGAAATACAGCAGTACATAAAATACAAAAGTAATGGGCTTGAAATGGCTTGCAAATATGAAAAATTGTGCTTCGTGATCCATACTGTATATTTCACTGAGGACCTAATGTAAGTTGTATCAGTGGTTGATCAGCAGATCAGCAGAACAGCTTTTAGATTGTGGGGTCCTGTCTCAGCACCTTCAGGTCTGAGTGCAGACATCCTGAGATTGGCTCAGGACATGTAATGATCATGATCTACCTTTCATGGGATTGCTGTATTTATGGATTTTGTTTTTTCTTTCAATATATTTTTACATTTCTCTTAGTGACAGTATGATTCAGTAACTATGTGTGTGTGTGTAATGACAGGCCTATTTGAAATGGCAATAAAACAGTATTATTATCCCATAAGTAAACAAGCACAAATCCCTGGCTGGTCTGTGTGTGTGGGAGTTAGTGCCGCAGCATGGATGAGATTCCTGGCAGTGTAAAGCCCTTAATTTCACCTTCGCTGAGCCCTTTCTGGCGAGAGCAAGTGAAAATGACGGCTGTGGCACTGCGACACACCCGGTAAGGATGGAGGAGCAGTGTGCACTGTGATACCACTGAAATGGTTAATGACCTTTGTGTTGCTGTGATTCACAAAGGATGACTTCATTGTCTCTGGGAGAGTCATCTGTTGAACAAGCTATGCTGGCCTTGTCCTTTACAGCACAAATAAGGATAACTGGACAGCTTCCCCATGAATTATATTTAAATAACTGTAATATGTGTCTAATTCTTTGTGGATATCATGTTACCCCAAACCACTGTGGGAAAACTTGAGAACTGAGTTGTTTGGGAAGGAGTGTAGAAACCCTGTCAAAAATAACCCTTTCTGTTCTTCTGTTGAAAGGCGTGATCTAGACCAGTGGTACCCACCAGTGGCCCTGGGGTACCTTAGTTTCTGTTTTCTTTCCACCTAAGCCTGTTAGTGACTTTTGATTTGCTTGCTTCTTTAGCCTTTCATTCACCTATTTCTGTGCTACAGCGTTGGTTTTTCAAAAGACCCACCTTCAGCTGCATCCTTTCAACTCCTATAGCACACAGAAATTCACCCTCTCTGCTCATCTCGTTAGTTAAGAAATGTGTCGTTTTCAAAATGTTGAAATGTGCCTAAACAGTCCTTAGTAGGTGATCAGTGCAAGATGAAGAGCAGACACAGACCCCAGCTGTTGCAGTTATCTCTTTGTAGTCGGCGTGCTTTGTCTGTTTTCTGTTTTGAGATGAAGTGTCTGTCTGTGCTTGGTTGGTGCAGGAAAGTGACCATCATGGAGGACCCAGAGCAGAACATTCACCTGAAGAACCTCTCAATCCAGCAGTCAGCCAGTGAAGAGGAGGCTCTCAATTTGCTTTTCCTGGGTGACACCAATCGGATGATTGCCGAGGTGAGAGTACGAGGCATGTTGGCAGAAGGCAGAGAGGAGTAGAGCTGCTACCCTCAATGAAAAGGGCTTCTCCGTGACACAACTGTGCTCAGGCTTTTTAACAGAATTGAACCACCAAGGCTGGTGAGTTCAGCTCATGGCTCAGTTTAACTTTTCAAAACACTGCACTTGTTTGCATGTGGCAGTCAGTGAGCATCATGACCTAAGGGATCTCCTGAGTCCCCTGGCTTCTGACAGGCTGTTCAGAAATATAAAACCTTTTGTCAGACTGTGTAGTCTATGTGAGCTATTGAACTTTATAAAATGGTTCAAGATTTGGTATCAGTTCATCATGTTGCTGGAATACCTTGCATTTCACTGGTATGTTATTTTATTTATATTTCTCTCCTGAAGAGTTTTCAAAACACATTGATTTAGTAAAATGTTGATAATAACTAAAATTATTATTGACATAGGCGCTACCAAACACAATGGAATTGTCTGTTATTTTACAGCACTTCTGTGTCATAATCTAAGTAATAGTCCCGACCGTCTATGACAGACCTAAAGCAAAAGCTCTTTATGTCTAACACCACACCACACTAGCTTGCCAGATGTAGATTAAAGTGATTTTGTATCAGCATTCAGGTCTATAAGGAATTAAGACGAATTATCTTACACCTATGCTTAAAATGCAGATCTAAATGAGGCCTGCTCTGTGTTACTGGGACACACCACAGCTTCTCTTGGACTTCCTGGAGGCTTAAAAACCTTCCTTTAAGCTGGGGCGTGATTTGAGAAGTGTGCTTTCCATTCTGGGCCTGGTGCTGCAGCCAGTTTTGGGTGGCCAAATTGTTTTCTAGGAGAGGTCAGCACATACTGATTCTGTGCTATTCCTTTCTGGGGATAGTTATCCATCAATAATCCCTGCTGCTTTTCCAAGGAGCGGGTGTATAATTAGCTTGTTGTAATTGAGCATCAGAATGCCAGATTTCTCCCAGAACGGTATTTCGCTAAATGTTTGGACAATTGGAGTAGAAAAAATACTTTTTTTCAAAATCAATTATAACCATATGTTGGACTTGAAAGATGACACATCTAGTCCAAATGGGGAATATGACATAAAGGAAGGAGGCTTTAAGGCGCTTTCCAGGGGGAGTTTATTGCTGGACAGGAAGTTAGCCATGCGTCTCACGCCTTTGATCTGTTTCCCTTGTTTGCTACTTCTTGCCACCCACGTGTGCGTCCTTTTTTTCCTTCCCCCGTGTGCTGGACAGCTGTGGTCCCCTAACCCCTGAGCACAGCACTGCCATTGTTACCATGGACGGCCTTGGCCAGAGCTCATATCGCACTGATCCTGCACAGCCCATGGGGCGATTCCCTCGTCTTGTGTGGTCACTGGTTTGTTTGTGGGGCTGGCTTTATTTGTAAACAACATACGTCTTTGATGGCAGCGTTCGCCTTTTTTTGTACACAACAGAGGATAGCATATTGTATTGCTGACACTGTAGTGTTTTCATGTGGAAAATGCATTTCAAACCAAGAAAAAAAAAGGAGGCACTTCTTTATTCAAAGGCTTGTGGGTTCGCAGAACATGCTACCCAGCCATGCTGTTGAAGCCGATAACCTCATTTCTTTCAAGAAACAGCTGGATCACTGATCCAATTAACTACTAACTTCTTAATTGACTAAATGGTCTCAATGGCCTCTTCTTGCTTGTAACCTCTGTCATGTTTTACCTTTCATCATCCATGGCTTTGTGGCTGAGAAGTGCTGTCATAATCTGAATCATCATCCTTCGTATCCATCATCATTTCTCCTCACACCTCAGTCCTCTAAACCAGCTCTGATTTCTGCAATGTAGCATCCTGAGCTGACGTCTTTGTTCCATATTGTTAAATTATATCTCTAAAGCAGTCAGCCACCAAGATGGATACAGTTCGTATGCATTTCAGCTTTACTGTTTTAATTTGAAACATTTTACTTTTCCCCCCTCAAAAAATGTACATTCTATCTCAGGTGGTTTGCACGTAAGAAAAGAATGTAACTGTTTTTTAAAGAGGCTTTGTAGCCATGAACTTACAGAGAGGGATCAAAGACAACATTTTTTATCTGCCTGCAAGAATATTTGTGGGCAATCAGCCTGTATGAAAACAGCCTGAAGATGATGACCTATAGGTTTTTACGGGGAATTAGGACATTTGTATCGAAACCTTTAGGCTGTTCTGATAAGGGAGTGAATTGTGAGTGTGTAATGTAATAGTGACTATAGTGTTAATGCTGTTCTTCTGCTTGACCAGCCTGTGCATCTCTGCCTCCATTAGACCCCGATGAACCAAGCGTCCACTCGCTCTCACTGCATCTTCACCGTTCACTTGTCCAGCCGGGAGCCCGGCTCTGCCACGGTCTGCCGCTCCAAGCTGCACCTGGTGGACCTGGCTGGCTCGGAGAGGGTGTCCAAGACTGGAGTGGGGGGTCAGCTCCTCACTGAAGCCAAGTACATCAACCTGTCTCTACACTACCTGGAGCAGGTACTGGATCGGCCGACCAGACCCTCCTCCAGCTGCCGGTCTTCATTAGCACTCAGAGGCTACCACACAGCCTCTGGAGATTCTCCTCATCGGATGACTGTCTTCAACACAAAGAGCATGTGCTCTGTTCTCTGATGTCTGATGCCTGTTTTCATCAGTTCAGCATAAAAATATGCGTTTGGTGTAACATATTATGAATTTAGAAACATTTTTGTGAATCTGGCCTCCCTAGAAAATAGCTACTGTGGCTTTTACTTCTATCTTTACTACTGAGTACAGATGTAACCTAGAGAGTGGAGCTGTCTATTTCACCTCTCATACTGTACTACACAGTTTTCCCAGCTATATTGGTGATATATTGCTTTTGTGTAATGCTAAGGTACATCTTAGAAGTTATGAAAGTCTGTCTTTTAATTTCTGTTTTTTTTGCATTTTTTGTAACCAAATAGTTCATTTCACCCTTCTCTAAGAGAGTCTCATGTAGTGCAAATCTGTTATTTTCTACCTTAAATTTAACAGGAGCTCTATGCCATATTTCTCCACAGGTGATCATTGCTCTTTCGGAGAAGAATCGCTCACACATCCCCTACCGCAACTCCATGATGACCTCAGTGCTGCGGGACAGCCTGGGTGGAAATTGCATGACTACGATGATCGCGACGCTGTCCGTGGACAAGCGGAACATTGATGTGAGTCCTGTCTCTCCGGCGTCTGTCCTCTGAGGGCCTGTGCTGGGGCAGTGCACTCTTTTACCTTTGTGCCCCAAGCCTGCATTACTTCACCACATTTTGTTTTACATTTATCATAAAAGTAGTTCCTTTTGAGTGCAGCAGTTTGTAACTTCACCTCTGTGATTTCTATTTGGAAAGCTGAAGGGTTCTGAGATATCGTAGAAGAAAAGAAGAACTATTTTTCTGGAGGGATATATGAGAATGGTCTGAGCTTTAATACAAGCCTGTCCTGCTTTTTTTAGTTTTGCTAGACCCTTTGGGTTATTCATGTAGACATTTACAGGATGAGTGTGGTTTGTCTAAAAATAATACTGGTTAAAAGGATGGGTTTTTCAGAGTAGGAGTAAGGATTTCAGGTAAGTCTCTTTAATCTCTGTGACAAGCTGACAAATGCGTCTTTACTAATTTTTGCTATAGATGGGGAAAAGAGAACATCAATGTACAGTACAATGATGTTTGTTGTGGTAAATTTTGAATTTTTCCTTGCTTGTTACCATCTTAGTTTAAATGCTTGATTCCTTTTATAGCACTGTTTCCCAGTTGTTGCCCTGGAGTATTTCTTAATCAATTAAGCTTATAATTACCGTAATAATAACTTAATAATAAAAATCCATGCTTAATTAAACCTATTGATTTGTAAACAGGACAATCTCACAAATCTTCTTTATGTATATCATTTTCAGGAAATAAAGTTGTAAGAAGTTCTCTATTTTATCGTTGTTGCTCGATAGCTCTATGAACCACTCTTTTAACTTATGACATGGAAATGACACAAACAGTGTAATGATAAGCTTTCCTAGTGTTGCTTGAGCCTATTGGTCACATTCAACCACGTCATTGAAACAAGAGGGAGAGGGGGGCTGACACCCAGCACCTGGTACAGGTTTCATGCTAACTTCTGACCTCCTTCTACTATTTAAGAACCAAAATGGTACAAGTGCACAGTTTGATTTAATGGCTTGATGAGTTAAATAAAACAACAAAGTTCAGTTGGGATAACAATTAAAAAACTAAAAAAGTAGAAAGGAAGACACAGGGGTCCTGCAAGACCAGGTTTGGGAAACACTGCTCGATCTCATTCAGACAAGATGTCTCTTCTAGATGTCACATAAGCACTTTATTGTATCTCCTTCTAAATATTATGTGACTGAATGGATGATGATAATCTTGCACCAGACTGTCCACAAGACTCCTTGATTAATCCATCCAGAATGATTTAGGAAGTCGTTTTCCCCATCGGGCCAGCGTTGCAATCCCTGAGCTGCTGTTGGAGCGTGGCATCGTCTCTCTGTTTCAGGAGTCCATCTCCACGTGTCGATTCGCACAGAGAGTGGCGCTCATCAAGAACGAGGCCCTGCTCAATGAAGAGCTGGACCCAGCACTGGTAAGCTACAAGATGACAATGAAAAGAGGGGAGTCTGTGGAGGAGTCAAACACAAAGTCTCACAAAATATAGAAAATGTTTTTAATTGCACATCGTATTTAATAGATCTTTCCATTGTAGGCTTCACTGCTGTGGGGAAAACAAAAGTCAAAGGATATTATGTTTCTTTCCAGGCCATTGCTGGTTAAATAATGTAGCAGGTGGCATCATCTCCCAGCAATGTGTTCCATAACAAGAAGTGTTCTGATGGAACAATTGTAAGAGGTTGTTTTTTTTTTTTATGAAGTGACATTTATCCTTGTTAGATAAAGGATCCCTCAAAGGACAACTTACAGGCCTTGCCATTGTGCTAAAATACAACTGCCTGGAAATGACAGGAGCAAGCACAGCAGTACAACGACCACCCTGAAGGAAAAAAAACACGGCTATTACAAAATTTGGACGAGGCGGGACTCATTGTTGACTTCATAGCTGATCAGGTTATGAACTCCATACGGTGCTTTAAGGATGTGTGGCGTGCATTGTTCTCTTCATTACTTAATTGACTGTGTATTCTGATACTGATCTCAAGTTTCATCTTCCACTGATCCATTGCATACTGAGAGGCATTAAAAGCGCAATTACTGTAAATGATTGAGCTTCTAATTTGTTGCATTATTATGCCTACTATGCCTAAAGGGTCAATATATATTTTCTATATGTGCGGTCTATCTTTGTGAAAGCAGGGCAAGCCGGTCAGAGGCACTCATGCAGCCCACATACTGCACAGTACAAAAGGAACACCCCAATGATGGAGTCAAATCCAAAGCATGCAGCAGTGCGATCAAAGTAAGCTCTCTATCAGGCTGGGTCTCCTGAGCTGCGAGCTGTTTGTTTCCCAGCCAGGGCTGGAGCCTGTGAGCCGTTTCCAGCCTCTTGGCCATTGCCCTGGACTCGGGCTCCTCACCCCAGCCCACTGCTCCAGCTTTGCCGCAGTGCACATGTGTAGTTATGAGGAGAGTCATTAGCCTGTGGCCTGGTCAGATGTGACTCATTCATTCTCAGTCAGGCTCAAGTGTGATGAAAAAGTTAATCTTTTTTTTCCTCTTTTTTCCTTTTTTTTCTTCTTATGTCGTAAATAATCCTTTCCATCCTAAAGATTCCATTGAAGATTCATAGCTGGATAAAAAAGGAACACAGTTGTTGTCACATTGGTGTTGATGGCAGAAACAAGGCTTGCATGTGCAAGGATTCCTGCTGGCATGGACATGTGCTACAGTATACATTCAGACAACAGCTATGCTAAGCAAGTCCTTTTCACAGTAATCTTCTGTACCGTTCTGGTAGAAAGTTTTCTGTGAGCTGCTGTAATACTCAGTACTGTGGATGGGACAAATGGTATGTTATCAGTTAAATCTATGGATTAATATCCGTTTTATGCTGCTTAATTGCTCAGATAGTTTGATTGAACTGCATTCAGAGTCACAGGCCAGATTAGTGTGTTTGTTTTACATTGGCACTTTAAAGAGAACCAGAACATGGCTGTAGCATAAAGCTGATGGACTGGAAAAACAAAAGACTGAAAATCTCCCTCATGGCTACTCCAAGCACAGGTGAGATTGCTGTGAGATAGACTGAGTGACAAGGCTGTCCTGATTTGCTCTTACATTTCCCTTGATTAGCCATTCCCTGCTTTTTACCAGGATAAACTCCTGTACGTGTGCATGAAAACAATATACAGTACTGTATGGCAAGTCTGGTTAACTGAGAGCCTGGGTTATCTTTCTCAATCATTCATGGTCTCAGGCATTGTAGATTAAATTAATTTGCAGTGCCCAATTTGAACCCATCATAAATGTTTTTAAGACAGTCTGCGGTTGCTTGTTACATGAATTGGTGTCTGGCAGGAAACTAATGAACAAAAACTGCTACAGGATGCTGCTGCTAAGTATTGCCCATTGCTTACAGACTTGTTTTTTTTAATATTGAAAAATAGTTCGCTAAAAAACATGAGAATTTATAAACCAATTGGTAAAAAGGTTTGGACCATTTGGAATGATGCCAGAATTGCTTTATCGACTTTTCATCATCTCAGACGTTGAGAAATAATTCTACTTTTTCTCCTACTATTAAGTGCCTTGTGAAATTTCATGTCTCAGTTCCACCTACTATAATGCTATAAAACATTCAACCTGAATGTTCACCTGAACATTTTCACCTGAAAACATTCAGAAAATTGCATTGTGGAACACTAGATAATAATAATTATTATAATAATTGCTTACACTTATATAGCGCTTTTCTGCACACTCCACTCAAATCGCTTTACAGGTAATGGGGACTCCCCTCCACCACCACCAATATGCAGCATCCAAGTGGATGATGCGACGGCAGCCATAGTCCACTAGAACGTTCACCACACATCAGCTATCAGTAGGGAGGAGAGCAGAGTAATGTAGCCAATTCATAGAGGAGGATTATTAGGAGGCCATGATTGGTAAGGGCCAATGGGAAATTTGGCCAGGACGCCGGTGTTACACCCCTACACTTTTCGAGAAACACCCTGGAATTTTTAATGACCACAGAGTGTCAGGCCCTCGGTTTTACGTCTCATCCGAAGGACGACACCTGTTTACAGTATAGTGTCCCTGTCACTATACTGGGGCATTAGGACCCACATGGACCGCAGGGTGAGCACCCCCTGCTGGCCCCACTAACACCTCTACCAGCACCAACCTTAGTTTTTCCCAGGAGGTCTCACATCCAGGTACTGACCAGGCTCACACCTGCTTAGCTTCAGTGGGTTGCCAGGTGTGAGTTGCAAGGTGATATGGCTGCTAAGATGACCTTGTATTATTCTCAGACCATACTTTGGGTAGTTTCCTGCAAAGGATCGATGGCCAAAGTCTCCGCAGGTTTTCTAGATCTCTTAAAAGTGTGAGCATCTTAATTGGTTGAATTCTGCCAATAGTAAGCTGGTTTTAAGAACAGGAGCCACCTCCTTATTCAATGGATTATTGGGATCTGGTACAAGCTGCCCAGGAGTGAAGAAGATTAAGTGGTGAAGTAGATGCCCTGGCTTATTTAAAGAAATGGCTAGATGAGATTATTGAATCAATTAGCTGCTTGCTTTGAGATGGGTCAAATGGCCTCCTTTGGGTTGTAACCTTTCTTGTAATTAATGCAGTTCATTAAAGGATGTCCTAAAAACCAGAAGTACTTCAGGATAAGAATGAGACACCCCAAAACTGAACTATAAAATAACAGCAAAGAGTTGATTAATCGTTTGATTGATTTGAACCAAATTAGACAAAATGTTTCTTTTGCAAAAGCAACTGATTCTCCAGACATAATGGTGCATTAAAGGACAGGTTTGCCGGGGTCTCATAAACTTGATTTGAGTGCCGTGGGAGCTGGTCCTCTCTGCCAGCCCAGCCCAGTGCTGAAATCCTGTTTCTGTTTTGCAGAGTACACGGCCTCCATGGATTACGTGCTTGTTTGTGGTTTGTGTCATGGTTATTACCTGGGTGTGCTTACAGGGCTCTTCTGAAGCTGGGCTATAGAAGTTAGCATCCAAATTAACCAACATCCTTCTTTGTACAGAGGATGAGAGTGAAATTCCATGGAAAAGTACTTCCTTCAGAAGATCCTGAGCCCTGTGGGCCTCCAGAATTGCACCATGCTGACCAGACAGCCTTATTAGCGCATACCTGCAAGCCAAACATTCCACCATTAGAGTCAGACAGAGAAATGGTCTTGAAACTGGGTGTTAAAATTCCTGTGGGCTCATCTTGCCAAAGTAATTTACAGGGCAGCTCGGCGTAATGGTGCATTTGTGTGCTGTAGCCATGTTAGCAGTGATTTAATGGACAATTTTTGTAGAAGTCCCTGAGACAACCATTCCAGCAGATGGGCTCTCTTCTTAAGAAAGAGGATACAGAGAGAAATGAAAGTTTTTTTTCTCCGTGCTCCGTTCCGATTTGACAGTTATGCGAATTAGGAGGTGGCTAACTAGGACTGGACATATTTCAAATATTACTGAGTTTCTCTTTTTTATTTCTTTAGCCAGTAAAATGTTTTTTTTTTTAATTTATTGTATTGAGCTGCAGTTCTTGAGGAAATCACTAAAAAACAGAACAACGATTTAAGTGTGGGAGTCATTGAATACAATCTATCTTTTCTTTGACTGACAGACTTTAATTTCCCAAAATCTATATACTGGGGCTGTACTGGATACATCTGTGCTTTTAAGTGTGACTTTGTCGTTTCTGGGCTTTGAAAGACAAGGAGGGGAACGCCAGGGAGGGAAGGCTGTGGCCAAGGCCTCTGTCCCAGGAACCAGGCCCTTTGAAGACATGCTGTGTGAGGACACTGATGTCATCTGTCATAAGGCATGTGGCAGGCTAAAGGACCCATTGCCATCTAATTACCACATTCAAGGCGGTCACCAGCTTAATTGATTTCTGCCATGGCTTCTGGATGTAAGAGTCTCTTTCCACTGGTTATGCAGATCCAGCTGATTCAGGGCTGTGAATAGGATGTGTTTTGCTGTTTTTAGCTTTATTCAGTGGTTTTGTTTGAGTGGTGACATGCTAACGTTGCATCATCCTACTGTACATTTAACTGTAGCGTGACCACTGCATCAGTTAGAAACTGATGTTGTTTGACAATGAATCATAATAACTACAGTTTTATACATTCAAAGAACATTATATTAAAAAGTACAAGAATGTAAGGAGTCCAGCATGGTGGTAGGGAGGTTAGCGCTGCTGCCTCATTACTCTTGGGTCCCGGGTTCGACTATGGTCTGTCACATGCTTCTAATTGGAGTTTGCATGTTCCCTTATGTCTGCATAAGTGAATTCATTCCAAGGACTGTGGGAGGAAACCAGATGCTGAAAACGACAATAAAACTAGTATGTTCTTCACTCAAACGTTTAAAATGAGCTCTCTTTCTCTGGGCTTTTTGAGAGCAAATCTGTGCAAAATCTATGCTGGTGTAAAATGCTTTGAATGCTTTAAATTTGTCTTCTGCTGTTTTGACCACCTTGCACCTAGACTAGGTCAGGGTAAAGCTTACAATCTGATAAATGGGCTTTTGCAATATCTAATGGCAATAATCAGAGTCAGAGTCTGATCTTGGAATGACACAGAGTTGGGAGCTCCAACTCAGGCTTGGGATTTTGCTTTGATTCATCACAGAAAAGCATGTTGGCTCACTGACAACATTGAACCTGATTCCGATGACTGTTTTGGCACAACGACAATATTCAAAGTAGAATATTGTCTTTGAGAAAATCGTAGTTTTTGGCTAGATTGACAAATCAGGTTATTTTTTTCCTATAGAAAGTTGCATGGGGTCCAGGATGAAGGAGACTGTGTCATGGATGATAAAGAGAAACTTTCATATAATTGAACTCTGCGATCGTGGGTCACAAGTCAGCTGTAACTGGGTGCCCCCAGACAGCTGGGCACCAGGCAGGGCAGGGTAGATGTACAGTATCTAACCATAGCTCTGTCTGTATCACAGCGATCTCCTCTGTGCTTGCAGGCCCACAGGGCTGTCCATGAGGGATGTGCCTCTCCTCTGATCGGTGCTGAGCCTCCAGTACAAGGCTGCCTTGCCAGTGTCGTGTTAAAAGACGAGTGTCTTGAAGGTGGGCGGGGTCCCTTGGGGTAGTCTGTCCATGATCCCTAATTATTACACTAAAACAGGCGTGGATGGCAAACATGATTGCTGATTCTACAGGAAATTAAAAAAGGGACACAGAAGTGAACAAAGTCAAGACTGATAAGTCTTACAGTACATACACTACACTTATGATTATGAAAACAATGATTAGAACTAAACTAGAGGATCATCTTTATGACTATGATTGAGGGGCCAGTCTTGGACCCAGGGAGCCTTTGTGTCTTTTCAGTTGCATTACCTGAAGATCTCGAGAACTTAAATTGGTCCCATTAATGAGATGACTCAGAGCCTTAAGAGTTGAATTGGAATCAAAAGCTGGACCAGAAGCTGTTTTAGGGGATAATTGACACTGATTTAGAAAAAAAAACTAAGTTACTTAACTGACCTTTTCTTTACAAACTTCTTTGAACAAATAGTAACAACAATGAATACAGACATTGAAAAGGAAATATTATGTCTAAATATTTATAATGTGTTTGATAAAATTCTTTATAAAAATGAATTCTCAAATGGCAGTCAGTAGGCATTCGGTTAATGCTTGGTTTTGGACAGAGAAGTGATAAGATAATTTTGGATTGAGGAGCCGATGGTAAACAGTTCAGATAAGCGGTGGATGGTGAGATTGGGTTGGGTGCAATTTGCGGAGTTCTACAGGGATCTGTATTATGGCCAGCGATCCTCTTAATGTATAGCACCAATCTAGATTTTGGGACAGTTGGTAAAGTAATCAACTTTATCAATTACATTTATTATAGATTGGTGCAAAGTGTTACATTCTGGTAAGTAGTAGGAAATAAAGCAGCTTGATACTCTGGCCTCCTCTCATTTGTAACCTTTCTTGTGTGTTTAATGCATGCCATTGTCTTCTGAGGTGCACATTAGCTCTATGCCTTCAGAGAAGTCCTGTAACTTTAGATATCTCTAGGATTTGACTCTTCTCATTTTCATGACTTTGAAACCACACATCTAAGCTTTATACTTTGTTTCTACATCTCTGTAGTTACAGACTTGAAATCTGTGGGCAACCTCAGAGTTGACTGGAGTGCTTTGGTTTGTGATCTCTGGAAATGGACTATTCAAGTAATTGACGAGCTCTGCAACATTCAGCACTTACTGACAATTAGAGTGTATTTCAGCAATACAATTTTAAAGCACATGTATGGTTTCATTTGAGCAGTATCAAATGTGTGAAAGTGCAGATCGAGACACAGTAGGGACACATGACACACCAGAAAGGATGTGAGCAAGGACCAGAATCTCGTCACTGAGAATGGGTCTCTTCTTTTGCCAAAGCTCTAAAGCAGGGCTCAGGGCTCTATAAACAGTGCCTTTGCTAACATCTGGGATTTTTATTTAATTGCTCTGTTTCCTTTCTGAGTGCTCAGTGTCAAGCATTAATTAGCTAACTTTCCGAAAACTGTGTTACAACTCAGAGCTACCCCAGTTTAATAGATTTACTACTTGGAAACACATTAGCTAATCTGTTCACTTGATTTGTATTTTGTACAGCCCTATCACCTAAAGTGAAACCCTAGTTTATTTCAGTACTCTAGAAATACACCTTAGTGGGCCATAAAATATTCCCATGGAAAGTGGAGCCATACAGTGTTCAGCTCACCCTTGCTGCCTAACCCTGTTTAACCTCTGGTGTTTAGCATCTCAGTGTCTTGTGTGTTCAAGAGTGTTTGCAGAGTTCTGTCTCCTGTGCTTGAATTTCAGCACCTCTGTCTGAAGCTTGAATATACTGAAACCCATCAGTCACTGTGATGGATGGGTAGCTCCACATTATGTCACAGCAGGTGACTGGTCATTCGACTCAACACCTTTTTTTCTCAAAAGGCTTCACTTGAAGTCTGTTTAGACTAAAGAAAATAAGCTTGAAGCCAAGCTTAGCCTATGTAAAAAAATCAGGCAAAGGGAAAGTGCTAAGTGGACGTACTGTACTTTGATGCTTTATGCCACTGTGTCTGCCTACATGTGTGTAAAAAACTCCAGAAATCAGATCCTTAGGAGTCTGCTGAGTGATTGAAGGCAGAACTGTGCTCAGTCCCCAGCTGTTGCTTTTGACCTTGAATATTTCATTAAAAAGGCTTGGTTGCTTTACACAGCTGTCACATTTTAATTATCACTGTAGCTATATATTCACCCTGGCTCCAGCAGTTTGAGTATTTGTGTGCCAGGTATACACAAATATAAAACAATATGTGTATTGTTGGCTCTCTGAAGTGGGCAAAAATAAGGAAATGTATACAGTCAGCTTATCCACCCATCCATTTAAAGTCAGAAAGCCCACTCCTTTTAGGTTTTCTGATAACCCTGGAGCTCATCCCAGAAGCATAGGGAATGAGGTGGACGGGGCACCAGTCCATCGCAGAGAATCAGCGTTTATGTTCTGGCTTCTGTGAGAGTCCTTTAATGTGCACAGAAATTCTTTCCCATCGGTATAAGTAAATCTAATGAAAGAAGTCTGACCAGAGCTGCCGTTGTTGTTTCAGCTGAGGACTGAGGTTCCCACCTCTGCAGCGACAGCGTGTGTTGGGAAGTGTGAGCTGGAACGAGAGTCTTGATGAGTCTGCTGCCATGGTTGTTGTTTTTTTTTCCTAAAATTGGTGATAGCCCAACCTAGCTCTCTTCCAGGAACTCCAGCCCACCACAGAAACCTTAATCGCTGTATAAAATAATTACATCCTTTTCAAAGCAACTGCTGATGAAGGGATTTCAGATAGGGAGTCCTGTTGCTGGGTGGAAGGATGTCTCAGAATGGTGAGAAGTTTGGAATTTTTATTTGAAGTAAGGCAATGCCACTGATATAGTGACAGCCTCTTATTACACTGCCAGAACTTAACCAAATGCATGTCAACCCAAGATGCATTTTTGTCTCAGTTGTCAAAAAACATTTTTTTCTTCAGCGTGATGCCAAACCAGCCTTTGCCAGTATTTTTCCTTTTGATCCTCCCAGTTTTCTTAATAACATCGGATGTTCTTTAAAACCCCCTTTATATGTTTAGGGATAGCATTGCCATAACCACGTAATCTTAGCACTTTGTTAAAGCTGATGTTCTATTTAATGAACAGAGGCAAGGGACAGGCTGTTACTGGAGAAAAGCACTTCTATTGTTTCAGATCTGGGCAATAGAAACTGAGCTGTCTTCAAGGTGTGGTGGGCAGTTGGCTTCTGATGGGGCCATTGTATTGCTTTTATACCAGAATTTCTTCATTGTAGTGTAGTGGGTAAGACATTGGACTTAAAGAATGACTGACAGATTGTGGTCTTTGATCACTTCAAACCTAGAAACCAGGAGCAGCTTTGGCCCAATGAACCTTTGTGTGAGGCTGGAATGGAATTATCTACCTGTCTGTTTCTCCATTGATCTGTATTATTGCTGTTTAGGATATTGCTGTTTCTTATATGTCACCATAACAGACCACCTTACAGATCTTGCAAAGCCACAGTTTTTCATGGGGTTTCCAGTAGATCCTTCTCAGTCTGACTTTCCTCTGCCAACTCTTTCAAGACGAAAGCTGTGTAGGTGGCCTTTGTTTGTAGACCACCAAGAAATGTGACTTGACACCCACTGAAAGTGGTTGCAGCATGGCAGAGGGTCTGCCATTTGGCGAGACCGTAATCCAAGGACGGATGTCAGAAATTAGAATACAGACAGAGAAAGCAGTATTTAACTGAGATTGACTGACTTTTGGAAGCACAGCCAGAGGAAAGAGGGTTCTACCCCTGTGGTTTGTATAAGTGAAGCTTCAAGAAATGGATTTTTAAATGCAGTCATACATTTCCGGCATTCATTGTTGATCTACTGATAGCAGAGGTAACCTGACAGGCTTTCCAGAAATAGAGAGAACCGACAGCCAAGTGGGATCCAGAAAAAAAGAGAGGGAAGGGGACACTAGGGAATGGGAAGGAAGGGAGAATTTAGGACTAGATGACAAGAAGGGAGAAGATGCACAAAAGGGAAAGCAGGCTGACTGGGGCTGTGCTTGCAGATGATCCTGCGGTTGAAGAAGGAGATCCAGTCGCTGAGAGAGGAGCTGGCCATGGTGACCGGAGAGCAAAGGACTGACCAGCTGACTGAGGATGACTTTCACATGTAATTGTTTTTTTTTTCTTGGAAAACAGCTTACATCAGGCTTCCACACAGTGACAGTCTCTTTTCTCCACAGCCAAAGGTTATTCCTGGCAATACGTTTTAAATAAAAACACACAGAAGAGGCTCTATCTGTCATAATGCTATATATATGCAATAAGAAATTATAGAAGTTCACAAACCACATGACATCATTTTCACTCCTTGGTAAATTAGAATAAATATTGCTAATACAGTTACAGTAACATTCTGTCAAGTGTCTATTATAGGTATTTTACAGTAATTACTAACAAACAGAAAAAAACACACAGATTTAAATGGCTTCTTTTTTTAAATCCTACTAAAGTCATACAATCCCTCCATAATTTGTGCTTCTCTAATGGGATTTGCCCGGATCTTTTTCTTCCACCGTCTTTTTAAAATCCATGCGCTCCACGTATGTTGGCTTCAAAACTGGACAAAATGAAAATGGGATTACTCAGATGGGACCTGGCAAGAGGAGCTAAATGTTTGCTCAGATGCGGATTTGCTGATTTTCCTGTGTTTTACCTTTTGTGGTTTTCCGGAATCAAGAGAATTGATCTTTTAATGAAAGCAATCTCCAGGTGATTAGGAGAAATGAATAGAACCATAAAACACTGTGAGGGAAAAATTGCTTTCCTCTCCTGTCAGGTGAAGCAGATTCTTTTGTTTCTTCTTAAGCAGCTCTTCCTAAAATCTAAGCCTTAAGTCCCTTAATCAGGACCATTCTGAAGTACTTCCAGAAGACTGGACAGGCAAATAATTGCTGCACACACATACTCCTTTCCTTCATATCTGCAGACCAACAGTGCAAACCTCCATGAGTAGAGATGTCCCTGGTCTTTTGTAACAGGTTACTGCAAGACTGCTCTTGTTCCTGGACCAGTCTAGCCAACCTATCTTTATAGTTTCCAGCAATATGACTGATGTTATACTGTACAATGGAATCAATGATAGGATTGATCCTTGTTTGATATCAATGTGCTGCAGTATTGGGAATATAGAACCTCAATAGAAATTCCCATGGTCTATAATGCAGACCTGTGTAGCACGGCTGTAGTTCTTATCTTCTTCTAGAGAGTGCTAACAATTTAATATCTCAACACATTTTTGTTTCGTTCATTTTTTTATGACCTGATGATATTATTCTTTGTACAATAATTTAATAGCCTTCTGCAGCCAGTACGACTCCTTCCTGTCAGTTATATCCCCCCTGTCGCTGCTTCACTTGGACCTTGGTATGACACCACACACTCACTTGCTGGCAGTGTGTAGTGGTCCGGATATCGGAATATCGCTCTTCCCTGTTCTGCGAACAACCTACACCCTCAGTGACACAGACTGCCTTGTTAAAGAGTTGTGACTGAAGTTGTGAAAGATGAGTTTAGAAAACAAGCATGCGTTTTACCCAGCGTGCATGGGTATAGAGTGCTCTCGTTTCCTTGTCTCACAAGTAAGAGAAGAGCATCCTTTTCGCTTCCTCCTGGTAGAGGTTCCGCATGAGCGCCATCAATCAGGACCTGACTTAGGAAAGAAGTGCTCAGCTGAGCCAGCTCTGCTTCTTGATTCCCCATCACAGCCCTCCCACTCACTGGACCGGGGTGAGCTTGGCAAACCAGCTTGCTGATCACTTTACCTGTCTGCCCCGGCTTTCAGCGCAGCTCTTCTCTTCAACTGCCAAATTCATTAGCCTCTTTTTTTGTCACACTTACATGAGGGAAATGCTCGCGTTGTTTAAGACCGGAAAGTTGTTTAAAACAGGAAAAAAAGGTTAGTACTCTTTTTCAAATAAAAAACGAATGATGTGTTATGGAGGTTAAATAAGAATGAATATTTATTTTACTCAAAGCAATAATGGGAAAATAAAAAGTAAGTTAAATTGGGGAATCCAGTGCTCTGTTATTAATTGAAAGTGAATAAATAGTGGCAGGCTAGCTAAGCTCAATACATATGTTTCCTAAAAGTAAAAACAGTAGAATTATTGTATGTCTTTTAAACACAATTATTTTGTTTTGTTTTTTTACAAAATACTGAACCGAGTAAACCGAATTAAAACATGACTTCACTTGGTCTCAGAAATTTGACTGTTAGAGTAATAATTCCAGTGACTAAGAACAAAGATAAAAAACTGTGCCATAAACTATTAAGGATTCTATTAAGTGCTTAAGTATTCTCTAGACTCCTGCTGTATTAAAACAAGTGTTTTCAAGCATCACAGAATTATTCTGTTTTCCTAATGCTCTGCCATATCTGTGGTAAAAGTGTCAGGCTTTTGTATAAGGCTCTGTATGTTTGTTGTGCTTCACGCTGTATACAGTATACTTCAATGGCAGCATTTAGTGAGTGCGCAGATAAATATGTACATTACCTGCAGACAGATGGTTCTTTTAGCCAGTGCCCTGGGTGACTCTGTGCTGGTGTCTCTGTTGTTCCCCAGGCTGCAGGAGAAGGTTGCGCTCTTCCTGCAAGACTCTGACCCTGAGGCTGCTCTGGATCTGGGTCCTGACCTTCGCAAAATCCAGCACTGCTTCAGACTGCTCAAGGTGAAGGCTCTGTTTTTAATTCACTAGTTCCTCAAAAGATTGTCTGTGATAAAGGCATGCAATACCAGTAAGTGCTGCGTAATCCCTTGTCAATTGTAGCCATAAATCAATTTGAAGGAGTTGGTTCCTGTGGACACTATCCTTGATTAGTTATATTTAGTCCCAATGGTGATACATCTACAAACCAAAACTTGACTCCTTTTTGCGTCTTTGGTTATGCCAAAAGCCTCTTTTATTAGGTCATGTGAAAATATTCGTCATACTCATTGAATGACAACCAGAATATTGTTTTGTGTTAGATGGACACCTCATATGTCTGGACTCATGTCATGAAAGAGAAAATGAAATATTTTTCTCTTCCTGAAAAGATTAAACATGACGAGTGAGGGAAGGGCATGATCTAGGTTGTTAAGCATCAGAATGTTTTCTCAAATGGAATGAAATAATGGGAAAAAAAATCAGTTATTGTTTTGGTAATCCCGTATTTGTCTGAAGTCTATCTATTGAAGTAAGAAGTGTAAAGTTTTATTTCAGATGGGTCGTCCTTTTCTTCCTTGGGAACTCATCTGAGTTACGTCTAGGTTTAAGCCCCTGTCCTGTGAGTGCTGCGAGTTCAGCAGTTTCCAGTTGGTGTGAAAGTGTTCCATGTTAATGTTCTATTCTGAAGGTCAGCACAGATCTCCTGAATGCGGCAGCAGGGCATGCCCTCAGCTCTTAGCAGAGGAAAGACTGCCCCCTACTGACTACAGAACTGAAGTGCACAATGAATTTCTCATTGAGGTCACATGGTGAGCCTCTGGAAGCTTTCTTCTCAAAACATTTACTGGATGAGAGTCAAAGCTTTATTTTTCCAAGGCAGAATATGCTTCCACATTTTCTGAAAGTGGCATGAAAACTAAGGATGGAATATTTTTTCCCAGTTAATTATAGCTTGGAAACAAAAAAGCCAGAGTTTTTTGTGAAATTTGAAAATGTGGAGTGAATTTTGCACTGGAGTAAAAAAGTCTGTGAATGTCATTCTGTTAGATTTGGGCGCTGATGATGTGGTAGATGGCATGTATTGACAGAAAGGGCTGTGCCTCTCATGGTGGTATCTCTGAAAAGAGAAAGCTCGCTGAGGGATTGCTGGGCTAAGACCAGAAAACAACAATACTGCTGATCCCAGGAACTGGCCCAGACAGAGCTAAAAGTTTGGAAGCAGAAAAAAAAAAATTATAGATTGACTGAGAGTAGGTGCGTGTTTGTGTCTGTGTGTGTCCTCTGATGGACTGGTGTCCAGTCCAGGGTGTATCCTACATTGCGCCCGTTGGTTGTTGGGATAGGTTCCAGCTCCCACTGCCCTGTACTGGACAAAGTGGTTAGAAAAAAGATGGATGAACTGAGAGTAGGTCATTTTCCCTTGTCCTACAAAATACATGAATTTTCCTGGACAGAAAACAGCCATAGCTTCTGAGCTGCAGCTACACTTTTAAGATAACTTTTTGTATAGCATGTTTATACAGTGAAGATAGTTTTCTATTTAGAGAAACTACAGTTTTTGGTAAGCCAGGGGGATCTTTTTTATTACTTGTATTGCTCTGACATGTAGTTTACATAAACACTTAACACAAGGCCACGGTCTCCAAGCACAATCCAAATGCATCATACTCTTAACGGGCGATTGTTATTCACTGGCACTTAATTCAAAGGAACACACTGTCAGCCCAGAAGGACGACATGTTCTGAAACACATAAATGAATTATAGTATTTGAACTAAACCCAATTAGGTTGAATGCATGTTTGGAAGCAAAGTGTTTACACTATACTTTGAGGAATTGTGCTTTTTCAAGATGGTCAGTTTTAGAAGGTTTGAGTATATAATCTGTTTTTAAGGGATTTTGACTCTATAACATGGCTTACAAGTGGTCCTCTGATTCAGATGTCCACAGTACAGTGTAGAGTCAGATCTGAGGACAGGCAGGGCTCTGCTTCTGCCCCTTGTCCCCTTACCCCTTGACGGAGGTCTCCTGGGAACACAGACGGGAGCTGTTCTGAGTCTGTTTATCTCTCTTCAAATTTGTTATAGTTCTGTGGCCAGGCCTTCTCCCTGCACGTTTACATTCCTCTACCCTGCGTATATGCTGGATTCAGACGTCTTGCATGATTAAGGATTTTTTTGTTGTTGTTTTTCATTTGTTATTCCAAATGAACAGTTCATGTTTATTATCTGGCTCCAGGTCACAGTAATCTGCTCTTTTGCTTGTACATGGGTATCAGATCACCACACTAGCTAACCCTGCGCATTGTGCAGTTCAGACACCTATCATACTCTGCGCCCCACCCACGTTCCTAGGCAGGTTGCTCCACCTCTTCGGGTGTCTGGGCTGGACGTTCATTTCTTAAAGCAAGAAATAACCTTTGATGCTGCTTCTTTCTAAAAGTAAAGTTGTTTCAGGTTTCCTCCTTTGTATTTACTAGACAGTGGTGAAGTAGATTTATTGATTAATGAATCCATATTTTCCCTCCAGAAACAATTCAGTGATGCAAAATCATTTAAGCAGTTATTCAAAGTCATTTGTAGTATAATTTCTCTGCCCAGTATGGAATCAATGTATTTCTAAATTGAAGTGTTGCAAATATTTTCCCATGGCTGCGTGAGTCTTTTTTCTCATCCAAAAGCCCAAAGGGGGCATTCAGTGTCTCTTGTCAGCACCTACAAAGTCCAGACAAGTACCCTATATGACCACCTGCGGAGAACTTGAAATGTAATATGTCTTACTAACATGGCTATTGTGACAGGATCTCTGACGTTGGCATCTTTATCCCAGAATTTATTTGGTTAAGGCATTGTAGTCAACTCAGTGATAAACTACTCATGTGCTTTGTACGCTTCAACATGTAACCTTGTTTGATCAATGAGAACTGTTCACTTCTGATTTGGAGGAATCCATGCATTTATAGTGAAGGACTGAATATATGGATGCACAGTACACTGCATTCCATCTCTCCTCAGCTCTGCATTTCACTAGGAGGATCATCATGCGTCAATTTTACTCTTGCAGGAGGAGGTCATTGACTTCATCAAAGGCTGGAGTGCATACCTGATCAAGAGAATCACAACCTGGGTTCCCATGATCCAGCCAAAAATACTCTAAATATGGGTTATTTCTCATACAGATGATGTAGACTGGCACCCCATGTAATCTACTGACTATCTTCCCTAGGGGATGGTGACAGAGCAGCAATGTAATCAGGGCAGAGGAGATGAGCACCCTTCTTCCCTCCACCAGGCTGACCAGAAGGACCAGGATTGTCCCACTCCTATGGAGATGAAGAGACTGAGAGAACTGCTGCAGCAGAGGGACAATGAGATCAGTATCCTTTATGACTGTGTGAAAGTCCAAGCCCAGCGGAGCATGCTTTTCTTCAGGTCATTACTACATCTAGTGTAGGAACAAAGGATGCAACACTTTACCACAGAAACAGCTGGAAATCTGGGTATGCTGATCGGTGACATAAATTTAAAGGATGATCGATGAGTCAGTTGACAGAAGCTATGAGATTTTGAGATTGTTTGGACTGATTCAGAGTTTGACTGCCTAAAAAGCTGCTCATAATTTCTTTCACGTTAGCCTATAGATATGCTCTTGGATACCCTCAGAGATGTAACATTGTTACACCACATGTATTTTATCTTTAGATTTCTTGTAATGGCTTTAACTGTGGAGGAGGGGGAAGGGGAAGGGTTGGAAAACAAAAAAACAAAGAACGGGTACTGTAGGTCTGCATTTTCCTATATTTAGCCATCGTATAGTATTGTCATCAGTAAACATTAGTATTAATTAGAGGCTCATTTTTTACATTCTGTAATTCAGAATACTTTGCCAAGGGCTGTCCTTGTGAATGCTTTCTGAAACACAGAACTGTATGTACGAGACTTGCTTGCAAGAGGTAAAGAAACATCGTCTCTCTATCTTACAGGTGCAGTGTGGTGAAGACCTATGATTCTCACCTCACCAAAGTACATGCTAGAGCATCCCGTGTGTGTCTCAGAGTGTTTTACATACAGTAGATCAATTAGAACTCAACATAAAACATGATTTTTAATACTGAAAACAGGAGGGGCTTTTTACACAAAGAGCAGCAACAGTGTGTAACAAGCTACCTAGCCATGTTTTGAAGCTGATACCCTGGCTTCTTTCAGGAAACTGCTGGATAAGATCTTGGGATTAATCAGGTACTAACTACCAAACAGACCAGATGGACTGAATGGCAACTGAATGGTATCTGTTCTTATGTTAATATGACAATAAATACCCAATTAAAGGCCTGATCAAACAATCAGTGTTTTTTAACCTGGTTTTAAATGGGTCTAGCCCAGAAGTGCCCCTAATGACTCTAACTAGAGTGCTGGGAGATGTTTAAAAGGAGAGCTACCGTGTCAAGTCAGCTTCAGACAATCACATTGTTGGATTCAGGACATGAATGGCTGTATGAGTTCAAAGAGATACAGTAGGAAGATGTCCATGTAAGGCCTTGCAAGGAGCCCGTGGTGATGAGGCAGGATCGGGGTGATATGGTAAGGGATTTTTTTCGTGGCTGGTGGTCTCGGCACAACGGACGAGGATGATTAACTCCGGGTGTCTCGAGCCTAACCAGCCTCACACTCCCCGTAAACTCCCTAGCCCTTACTCAGCACCCTGCTATGCTGACATTTCAGAACTGCAGTTCAGTTAAGTAGACGCTATTAATAATAATAATCACCACTGGGGTCTTGTGGAAAACAAAAGGCAGAGACAGTGTGTGCTGCAGTTTGCCTAGTCTATCCTGAAGCTTAATTGTTTCTCATGCGACCTTACTATAATCTAACCATATTTAAAGATCTCAGCTGTAATGCTTCTCATTAGTGTAGCTTTTGCCGTGACTGAGGTAAATCCCCCTCGTTCCCCACAGAGCCCTACCCTCTATAAACCCACGGAAGTGCCAGCTTTTCTTTCTCATTTAGGGCCATGTAGAAACTGCCCCGAGGACTCCTTCCACCTGGAACCTGTTAAATTAGGGAATCCTCCCCTCTTGGGGCCTTTAACAGTGAGGGGAGTTCATTCTTTATCACTGTGAAACAGTGAGGCACTACAGCATTAGTGCTGATATTGTCTGTCATCTTTCCAACACCCAGTTTGCTTCATCACGTCAGGACAGTTTGGCTTGATCGTTTTCAGATACTGAACTAGGAACATGAACCACTTTCATTTTGTCTCTTGGTATTGCAGTTGTAGACAGTTATGGGCTCCCTTGGTGTCACTCTTTCTTCCCTGTAAGCTGTACTTCAGCCAGACTTCTGTAGAGATGCCAAAATTAGCATTTAAACTCTGTCTCTTAAATATAATGCTCAATTAGAAATTGTAACTGCAATTGTCCTACAACTGCAATGTTTATTAATTTAACCAAATTAATTAATCATATTTGCTCACTGATGGAAACCTACTAATACCATGTGGCAGTGTAAAACTGAATCATAGTGCACTGAGCCACGCTAGGATACTCTGGGTGAAGCAATGCGCCCTCATAAATCAGACCTGACATCTGCTAAGAAACAGCCGTGAGGCCACAGCAGAAGACAGTCCGAGGTAGCCAGGCCAGACTAGTGGACTGGCTGCACCGCTGTGGTTAGCTCGGCAACTTGGCAACTTTTAAGTCTGAAAGTTTTCAGTTCCTTTTATGGTGAGTGGATTTGTCCTACTCCAGAAAAAATTAATAGAATCCTGAAATGTATATACAGTATATTTAATGGTTGGCTCCGGTCCAATTTCCAATGTCCCAGTGTGGAGCAGAATATTTTGCCCCTTTATTAAAATTGAACAGATTGCAAGGAAGGTTAAGAGTTTTGTGCTTGACTGATACTTAAAAACCAAAAGACAGGACTAACAGCTGGCTTGAAGCAAATTCCACAAGTAGTTGATCAAGATCCAGCAACTGAACAATAAGACAATATTCTGGTATAGTTAATAAACTAGTTACGTTTGCAGGTTATACCTACAGTATATAGAAGGAGTAGTATACTACTAACAGTATAGAATATATAATGTATAACAGTATAGAAATTAGAATTAAGAATGATCTAAATACTTTTAAATGTAATTTGTAGTCAAACACCTAGCAGATTGACATACTGTATAATAAAGGTAAGTGTGAAATATTACAGGCAGGTAGCAAAATTATATACTATAAATATACATTGATGAATGGTGAGTTTGAATCAGTCCAATGGGCTTTGTCAGAATCAAAAGCACAAACCAGAGAAAAGTGGAACTACATTAAAGCGCTTTTAAAACTTGAAACAAGGGGCACTTCATTACACAAAGAAGTGTGGGAGTCTTGAACAAGCTGCCTAGCTATGTTCTTGAAACTAAAAGTGTAGAGAAGTAACTGAATGAGATAAGCAGCTCACTTTGCTGGTCCTTACCAAAATGCGATAAACTGCCTTTATGTTCTTATCTACTTCGGCAACAAAATGTCATAGCTTATTCTAACAAAAAGTAATAAGCTCTTGGATATTAATAAAGATTACTTTAAAAATGCTCCAAAGCAGCATGAGAAGAGCAAAATAGTTGAAAATGTACATTGTTTATGGAACCTCTCTGTTGACCCCAGTGAGATGAGAATGGTGTTCAGGAGCATTCAAGAAACTAGCAGTAAAAATAAATAAACTTGGAGAGTTTTGAGAAAGCAAAAGTTTTGTATTTTTTCTGGTTTTGCTTAGACATAATCTTCCCTCAGCATAAGAATGAGAGTTTCACACCCTCTGATCACAGTGGATATACTTTATATTTGTGTGTGTGTAAAGATAATAAAAATATCAAAATAAAACTATTTTTCACCTTGGAGGGGTTATCTGTGTTGTGCGCATTTTCCCCCATAGTTCAGTAAATGACCAGTTATGTTTCAGGATATAGGTCACTTTGGAACTGCAAAATTTCACTTAAGATTGAGATTTTGTTTTCCAGCAGTTTTAGGCCACATCATGTGCCAAAGACGAAGAAATGTAATCTGCCACTGTTGTTAGCATTTAGGATAATATTTATTGTAGTGTGGTCAGAAGCCTTAAAATACAACCCGACAGCAGGAAGAAATAACAGCAGTGCAGATTCTTAAAGACTGGCACCAGGTCATCCTTATGGAGTACAGGAAAGGAGAGCTGTGCGCCCTCGCCACAAGCCATTGAATTGGCACTCTGATTGTTGGCTGGCCTGTCGCAAACCCTTTTGTGGTGTTTTTTATTAAATTAAGCTAAAAACTGACTGCTAAGCACAGTCTTCTCTTTGCTGTCACTGATAATTCTGGAGAAGCCATCCCGCCATGGGAAGATACATTACTTTATTTGTCGGCTATAAGAGCTGCGTATTCATGAATGCGGAGGAATATAAAAAAAGTTACAGGTTTGTCTGTCTGTTTATATGGCAGCAGACGTGGATCTGGGGAGCTGCGAGCAGTGAGAAAATCACCAGCCAACATCACCAAATAAAAGAGGCAGACACACCCAGAGTCCCTGGTCCCAGTAATCTACATCTACAGTACAAGTAGTCTTCTCCGTCTGAGCTTGGGTTCTTTCAGGACCAGCTGTCTGCTTTACTGCTGGGAACTGAAGAGGAGAGGAGACTGTGTCAGCTTGTGCTCATTAACGCTTGCTGCTTTGGCCTAGATGCTTCCCCCTTTGCCTTTCCTTGGAACTTCCTGGCAGCCACATGGTGCTGTAGGCATTGCAAGGTCTGCCTCTTAGAGGCCAGAAAGGAAAAGTCCTATAATTCTATCTATTACTGTGTTGTAATGCCCTAAAGCAAAGTGCAGGCCTGTCTACTTTAGAGATGTGCAAAAGAATTGAGGACGTCAGTGACAAAGGCAGGCCTGACACTTTCTCTTGATGCATCAGGACAAGGGAAGAAATCTGCATTGTAACCTTTTGCTTGTGCGAAACCAAGGACACCGAACTGTCCTCTCACACTTGGGCACACTTCAAACCCGTGTGTAGGGAGATCTCCACAGTATCTCACACAGGTGGGCCTTTCTCCAAAGAGATGAATTAACCAGTCAGAAGAACATCAGAAAGTAGACACTCTTGTGGACTGGACCTCCTGTTTTTGCAATGTTTCATACTATAGAGAAACTTACTTGATGCAAGTCAGTCCTTTCATTCTTCCAAGTCATTTTGAAATGATTGCAACTCTTGTGATTCCGCTTCAGGGATTCAGCTTGTTATTTTAACTAAGTACTGTTGCCCAATGAACATCAGCTATTAGAAGATGTTCACCTAAATATTTGCATTCACAACTGCATTCCAGATTTCCAGCCAAGGGTGATATTCTGTGGAAAATTATTAGTAAGTTAATTAGGCAGCATATTTCTCTTCTAAATCCTTTATATAATGAGTATTTCATAGGACACAGTTTTCATTATACTGTATTCTTATTCAGTTCTTGTATTTTTTTCTCTGTTTTGTTCCCTGTAGGTATGAAATTAACAGAAAAATGTTGCTTCTTAGTTGGTTCCAAAATAATGATTCAACTGTGAGACACTGTCATTGGTTTTCAGCACTCCTGGATATTGCAACTGTGAGGGACTGACGTGACCATGTTTTAAATATAGCTAAACATTTATCCAATAGAGCTTAGGTGATTCCATTAGTGTTTCCTTTGTTTTTTCTAGCTAATATACATTTCACTTGTCTGTGTGTAGAGTATGCGTATTGCCTCTGATGTGTTTGAAGATAGTATTACGTCTTGTTGAGAAGATGTCAGGCTGTGTAGTCTGGGCACAAGAATAGGTAAACCATGTTCTAGAATGTGTCCTCTGTAACTCTCTTAAGTATATACATATTATTTATAAGACCTATCGGAGGACTCTGCACTTCTAGGCCTAAATGGTCTTAAATCTTCCATAGAGAGTGTTTTAGGATTTTGAATACAGTGGTAGCCCTTGATTTTATATTCCTTTTGCAAATGTATTCTGTATCTGAAAGCTGGAGATCTGGGCAGTGTTTTAATAGCAGAATGACATGTGTATGCAGGCTACGATGTTCTGGAATTTTGGCAAGCGCTTCTCGACAATGGCCTGTTTCTTCATATGTGATTTATAACAGAGCCATGACAGCTCATGGTGGTTTATTGTTAGAGGCACATGGGGTCTGAGTTTTAAAGTATGTAATTTTTTTTCTCCATTTTTTTTTCTGCGGATCATAATGTAACTGAACATTTATACTCCTACTGCTTTATTTCATGGATGCCAAGGAAGTAAAGGACAAATTATTGTCCTGAGAAATTGGTGGTAGAATTGTATACTTTTTGTATCAATTGTACCATTTTCCCTAACTCCAAAAAACTCCAGCTATACTAGTGAATATGTTAAAGAGAGAGAAGAAGAGAGCTCAGGATGCAGTTTCTCAGCTGGAGCTGGGCTCCAATGGCTTCGTGATCTCTCGGAGCTCCTACCGCACATCAGATGCGGAGAACGCTGAGGGCTCATGGGAGTCGTCCAATCCAAGACAGACCAGCGGCAGCATCTCTTCTGTCAGCACAGTACCTCACCCGCTGCACAAGAGGAGAGGTAAGAGAACACACATCTTGCACAGACACACCGTGGTGAGCCAGCACTGGAAATGAGTCCCTTATGACATTTTCTTCCACGCTCTGCAGCAAGACCTTGAAATTTCAGCAGCACAAAATCTCCAATTCTGAAGTAGTCTTTGAAATGCTAATTCTACTCTTTGTTCTTTGTTCATTTTAATTCTGAGTGCTATCAAGAAGCTACATCATCACATAGCTTGATCTCCTCAGATCTCAAAAGCTAAGCAAAGCTGGGCCTGGTCAGTACAGGGAGGGAGATCTCTAGGGAAAACCAGATTGCTGCTTAAGTGGTGTAGTAATAACAGTAGAAATAATAATAGCTACTTAATTAATAGATCAATCCCTTATTGAAAAAGTCAAGTGCGTAAAAAAATTCTAATTTACAATGAAAACCTGACCTTAGACGATCGATGCACAGACTGCAAAGCACTGAAAGAAAGAAAAGAAAGATCAAGAAAATGTAACATATCAGAATGTGGTAGAGTTAACAATTACAAGCAAGTGTCAGGTAGTAATGTTTTAATTATACATCTGACAAGTTCCTACTCACTCTGCAGACTGTTCTAGTCACCGGCAGCGGAAAGTTGCAGAGACTTTCATCCAAAGTCAGTAGTTGGTATTTTTAGGTTCAATTTGAAAAAGTGCCCTCTTGCATTGCAAAATAATTTTTCTTAATCGTTTACATGCAACTCCTGGTAAATTGTCTACATTTTCAAAACTGTGAATACAAACCCCATGTGGTGTTCACTCAAAACATAAATATCAAGCATATTGGTGCAAACCAGTCAATGTAAATCTCTTAAGTTGACAAACAAACCAAAAGAGTGATTTTGTTTCACAAGTCTTAATTCTTTAGTTCACAACTGAAAGCAACCAATCCCATGTGTGTCCAGCCTCACCTCACAGATACAAATCTTAACTGCCAAAATTGTCCAGTGATCAGTCAATATTTACAGTATATTAGGTTACAAGTGAGTTAGTGTTGCTGAATGATGGAGCAGGAACCTATAGTAGTGGGTGATGTGGGTCCCCTCATCTTTTTTAATCTGCTAATCCTAGATTGTTTATGGCTTTATATGGCTGTATTGTTTGCATCCATTTGTCAGGATGACATTACTTTAAGAAACAATCAACATGCAGCTTAATGTTTGTTGTATTGGCACAAAACATAGTCTGAAGAAAACATGCAACAACTAGTTTTCTTCAAGCTAAAATCAGTTCCTGGAGCATCTGCTTTTGATCAATGTAAATAATTAAACTGCCTAAGATGTTGGCATGTGCCATATTGTTTTGCTTAAGGGAAGAATGCTACGTGTTGAGTTGTGTGTGGAGATCTGTCGCTGAGTCACAGCATTGCTGGAGTGCTGGGCATGTACTGTAGCAATAACCCAGTCTCTGTTCCCTGTGTTATCAGGGCTGCTTTTAATGGAGCTGTTTCTCGGAGAGATGGGGTGATCTCTCTCTAAGAGGAAAATTCCTTCGCACAAACATATTGCAATGTAAACAGGGGAGGACATTAGGAAATTAAGAAAAAATCAATAATCCATAAACCATGGTGAAGAGGAATGCAAATGCACCTGATTATCCAGATGAAGGCTATTGTGCCGAAACATTGGCAGTTTGCCAAATAATAAATATATTTTTGAGTCTACAGCGTGGGTCCAATCGACCCTGTTTTTTGAACAGGAATCCAAAGGTGTGTTATTGTGACCATGTTCCTTCTTCCACTGGATTTCCTCCTTTCAGCAGCAAAGTCTTCATTACAATTCACTGCAATAAGAGTGATAAGTATATAATATGAAACATTATGGACCGTCACAATGAAAGCATTAAAATGTTAGTATCTGGTATGATGTCTCTGAGCATTAACAGACAAATCTGTGTTGTTACAATATCTATTGATGCATGGACCTGATCAGCTTCTGGATATAATGCTTTTTGATGTTCCTGGTTCTCAAATTTTCTGCTGGACTCAGTCTGAAACAATTGCACATAGATTGGATGAATAAGACAGCTCTGTGCTGGTGAAATTCTTTTCCTGGTGACAGTCTTCCAGGACATGACCTGTCTCCTGCAGAATCCTGGTGTCCCTGGACTAGTCAACTAATTGTTGAAGTAGAACATCTAATTTTCCAAAGAGGTTCTACCACAGACAGGTCACTTTCAAGCTGATCTTCATAATTTAGATTGAATTAAAATCATGAAAAGCATTTATTTAGATTCTTAATGCATTTTGGGAATTCAATTTTAAATTCAAATACAGAAATAAACACCTGACATTTTTAATAAATCATGGCTAGAGGTCAATATTTTGTTATCTCAAGCAACAGTACATCTCCAACCTCATCTCACCATTTAAAATGTGAATATGATTGTGTACTGTATGTCCTCTGTAGAGTTGTTGTCTCAACAAGTTGCATAATAGTTTCCTTGGCATTGCCATTGTTAGACTTGTTATTTTAAACATTGCTTAACAGAAAAAGGTGGCACAGCAGAGTTTTGAGTTTGAGTCTAGACTGGACACATTCTGTGTGGAGTGTGCATGTTCTCTCTGTCTTAATTTGGCTTTCGCAAAGTGCTTTATACTGTTCTCCACCCAAAGACTTGTTGGCTCAGTTAATTGGCATCTTTAAATTGTGTGCCTTTGTGTACTATGATGGATTGGCATCCTGTCCAGGGTATGTGTGTGCGCTGTCATGGACTGGTGTTTTGACACACCTGAAGAAGGCTTCACAGCCGAAACATTGTGTTTTCTCTCTTCTCTTTTCACCATGAAATAAGCCTATTACTTGTTCCTTTGCAGACTACGCATGCTGACGCAGCTACTGTACCCACCTGAACTACTATTATACATAATGACTAAGGTTGTTGTTTACTTTCCCCATGTGTTTCTGATTTTTGTACTGTATAGGATGTTAAACCTGAACTCCTAATAATAAGAGAAAAGATAACAAACACAAGCCAGCAACTCATCAGCTGAGTCACTTTGTTCATATCACAGAAACCACAGCTCTATCATTCTTCCCTGCAAGACATTTTCAGATAATGATGCCCAGACCAGTGCTGGGAAGAGTGAATTATTGCATACGGGGTTAAAAGTAGAGAAGCTTTTAAAAATCAAACATATGTTTGAATGGCCTCCAGTTCATGCTAGGAGAGAGAGTCAATCATTCTCTGAATACAGTTTGCAAAAGTTTGATAAATGATGTACGTGGCACATACATCCTGCACTTTTCGTTACAGTATGTTTCGTATTCCAGAAACACTGTAAATCTCGTAAAGCTGAGCGTGGGTACAGTTCACATCAATGTGACTTCTATTCCATTATTTGCTCTAATAGATGATAGTCTAATCTCTGAAGCCTCTCCTTCTCCTGCCTCTTCTCTTGTCCCTTCCATATTCAGCTGGATATTTCATTTCCTCTGCACTCCCACAGTTTTACTGTGCCAATTATGTTTGCCAAGACCAGTGACCATTTTCGGGACCATAGGATGCAAATTGGCAGAGTAATTCTGCAGCGGTAGTAAATTAAATTTAAGGTGGCTGTGTGCCTGAGGATGGATTACTCATCTAAATTATTTTCTTAGATGTTACAGATATTCCTGCTGATAGCCCTGGCTTAAGACAAAGATTTGGTTGCACATCCAAAATGTCATGTGTGGAATGTGTACTGAATTAATGTGAACTGATATATAATAGACACGGAAGAACATAAAAACAGTTACAAATGAAAGTAGGCCATTCAGCCCATCTAGTCCATAGGCTGATGTCTTGAAAGAATCATAATTCACTACAATACCAATCTGATAAGTTGACGTCCTCAATATCAGCTAAAGTAGTGTGGTTGGTTAGCTTGTTTCATACTCGGAAAACATACAGTACTGTGTAAAAAAAGTCTTTCCAATTCTTAATTTTAAATCCAATTTCCGTTTGTGTCCTGTTTGGTCATCTTTTGATTTTGAAGATGCCCACTATCATAGTCCAAAGACATACTGGTAGGTTAACTGGCTTCTGGGAAAATGTGTCCTGGTGCGAGTGTGTGTGTGTCTGTGTGTCTGCCCTGTGATGGATTGGGGTCTTGTGCCCGATTGCTTTGTGGGATAGGTTTTGGCTCCCCCGCTGCCCTGTATTAAAGAGGTCAGAAAATGAATGGATGGAAGGGTAGAGTAGCTCATTGCAAGATGGTTTTCTGTTACTATCAGAGGTCACATCAAGTGCAGGTACTGGGTTTTGTTGCTTTTTATGTAGGACTGTTTTTCCGAATTATAAATAAATATTGAATTATAAAAGGATTCATTTCTGAAATACATCTCCTTTTCATTTTTCATCCTTTGCCAATGGATGTCCTGCATGGACACTGATCAAACATTGTTTCTAATTTCATTATGAAAGTTTGTTAAATGTCAAATCATCTGAATCGATATTAAGTACAGTACCAGTCAGATAAGTTGACTACAGAGTCCAGGACAAGATGTGCACTCCTTTGGTAATTTCCCAAACAAAGTAAAAATGCTTTCATCCCTGCTGTAACAATAAAATGATCTAAATTATTGGGGGTGCCTGACCACACACAGCACCCACAGAACTGGCATCCATCTCCCAGGCAATAAAAAATGCAAACTAAATGTTAAGATGTATATTTAAAACATTGAACTTAAATCTAGGGATGTTATCTTAGAACTGTACAATGCCATAGTAAAACATACTTTAGAATGCTGTTTTGGACAGCTGTGTGCAAGAAAGATGTTGCTGTTCTGAAATCAGTCCAGAGAATAATGACCAGATATTTCCACTTTTGACAGAGTGAACTGTACCTTTTTAGTCATAAACAGAAGGCAATGAGGGGGACCTAAAACAGTTATTAAAAATCTGAGGCTTCAGTCAGCCAGTGGACCAGTGGATACCAGTGGAAACTACAGGGAAGTGCTTTTAAAACTGAGAATAGGAGGTACTTCTTTACACAAAGGGTTGTGGGAGTGT